ACTTTTCTTGTAATAATAATTCATGATTGTGTGGCAGCTAAGCATCTATATTCTGTTATTCGATGAAAGGAAGTACTTTGTCGTAATTAAAGGAAACTTGATAAATTGGATAAACAGAGTAAAATTTAATGAAAGTACAACGTTTCACCAGGTTAACCTGGCATCATCAGGTACGTCAACTACAATGAATGAATTGAGACTACAATTATATATAATACAGTGCAAGGGTACATTGAACTTTGATTGGGTAAATTTAGCAGTAAGGTATGATATTTTTGGAGGGTGTTTATTGATAGGGCTTAACTTCTTTGAGGGTCAATGTCCGTAATCAACAAAATAGGAAAATATAAGTACTATTTCAAAAATGTAAAATATTATAACAATAAAATTTATAAATGAAATACTGTAACTTGAAAATTGTAAATAGAGGTAAAGTGATTCACAGAAAATAATATAAAAAACTTTTTGAACATCAACATAGTTAAAGTTAGAATAGATACAACTGTGTGCAAGAATACTTATTTATCCTGTTATTATAATATATTCAAGTACTTCTGCAAAAAAAACGGCCCCTTTTCAAGCACTTTCAAGGATGCTTATTCACCCAGGGTTTCATTAATGGGACGTTAACAAGGATAACGATTTAAGCAGATGAGCAATGAGTCGGGAAGACCCCCCAACACCTCTTAACATAAAAAAGGTGTCATATGCAAGTCGTGCAGGGAAGTAGCAGGTATACGTAGTCAAGAAAGAATGGTATCCCGACCTAACAGTAGATCAGCCACACTTGAAGAGGCAGAGCTAAAGATGAAAGGTGTGCCACTGTAGTAAACAGAAGACTGTAAACATCATCTGAAAACCCTTCAGGAGACAAGTGAATTGCCTGAGCCAGCAAATGAACATTCGATAATTCAATCAGAATTGTGGACAACATCAGTCTGATATAAGAAAATTGAAGTTGTGAGAAATTCACCAATACATTAGGGTTTTAATCCCACAATGGAATGAAAGATTCCAAACGTTGGGAACTAAGATCATCATCATCATCATCATAGACAGCAGTACATCGATAATTCTACTTTCATTCACATTATATATGTCATCCCTTCTTAATATTAACAATAATGGGATCTAATTATTATTGTTAATATTAAGAAGGGATGACATATATATATGTGAATGAAGAGCAACTACGACTGTAAAGGCTGGTGGTGAAGGAACTACCATAAAGTAAAACAATTCTAAGGATATGGTAAAAAATCAAAGAAGATGACATATTCATCACAAAATGGAATGTCTTTAAAACATTTTTTCTTTAACTGCATAGAATAATGAACAAATTTATCAGTTTGACCTAAAGCAGCAAATCAATATTAAACATTCAACATACAGTTCTTAAGTTCAGTGTTACACTCTATTATTATGTATGTACCTTTTGTTTTTCTTCTTCTGATCGAGCATCGCTCCGTACATTAGCCCAGGGTAGGTCTTTCGGCCACCAGACGGGTCGAGTGGACTCCTTACCCCAACCTGGCTTTCCTCGTCCAGTAGAATACTTTAACATCAGAGGAACAAAGGCTCGAAGCTGAGCCTTACAGTTACAAAATCAAAACGTCTTTCATTATTAGAAATTTAGAAAGTGCTACCAGTATACATTTTGAAAAATTAATAAAACACCTAAAACTTTTACTTCCATTAAAATGCCAAAGCACAAACGTTTATGTAATTCTGAAAAATGGTTCTAGTGAAAGTAAGTCCTAAAGAATGACATATATGTGACTGAAGAGCAACTACGACTGTAAAGGCTGGTGGTAATTAGATCTTAAAATGTATTTAATGTTTAATAAAAATATATGAGAAAGAACAGTGTTTGTTGTTACATATTCAGTGTTGAGAAAGAACAGTGTTTGTTGTTACATATACAGTGTTGAGAAAGAACAGTGTTTGTTGTTACATATTCAGTGTTGAGAAAGAACAGTGTTTGTTGTTACATATACAATGTTGAGAAAGAACAGTGTTTGTTGTTACATATACAGTGTTGAGAAAGAACAGTGTTTGTTGTTACATATTCAGTGTTGAGAAAGAACAGTGTTTGTTGTTACATATACAGTGTTGAGAAAGAACAGTGTTTGTTGTTACATATTCAGTGTTGAGAAAGAACAGTGTTTGTTGTTACATATACAGTGTTGAGAAAGAACAGTGTTTGTTGTTACATATACAGTGTTGAGAAAGAACAGTATTTGTTGTTACATATACAGTGTTGAGAAAGAACAGTATTTGTTGTTACATATACAGTGTTTGTTGTTACATATACAGTGTTGAGAAAGAACAGTATTTGTTGTTACATATACAGTGTTGAGAAAGAACAGTGTTTGTTGTTACATATTCAGTGAACTGATGAATTAAAAATCATCACTGGCAAAGATAGGTCTTAACTTATAGCACACCAACTGATAACAATAGTAAAGTTAAGAAAGTTTTTGCCACATTTTTTTTAAATTATAAAAAAAAGTTAACTGATATAAAATGAAAATTATTTCTGAAATTGTTACAAAAAGTAGTAAAATATCAAAATAATTTTCAGAATACAAATAAGATATATTGCTGGTGAAGAGTGGTATTTCTTAATTTGATTATTATGGAAAGAGGAGAAGAGAAAAAACATCGATTAGTGAAAATGGTAGGGAGCTTTAGTAGTTTGGCCATAACAAAGATTTGGCAAGCAAGTTTGGTAGGAATATTGCAGTTACTTGGATAGATGAAGCAATCACGAACCCAAATTTTGATTAATCGATTGTTGGAATAATTGAAAACATTAATAACTAGAAATACTATTTTTAATTTTTGACCATATTCTTTCATGGGCTAATTACAAACGAGAATAACATATTTTCTAAGTTGACCACTAACACACAATTTATCTAGATTTACATACAAAAATATTCATCCTCCAAAGTTTCTGTGAGTCACTTGATTTATATTTAAAACAATTACATGCATCTTTGAGTTTTAAGAACACTATTACCACTTCTTTTTGTTAAAATAAATAGTTACATAAAACACTTTTATTAATGATGAAAAAGTTTTAAAAGAAGTTAAAATGAGACATACTAAAAAAAAAAGACAAAAATGCCACTGAAATAAGGGTTAAACTCACCCTAGCTGCTCCAGTTAAATAAGGGTTAAACTCACCCTAGCTGCTCCAGTTAAATAAGGGTTAAACTCACCCTAGCTGCTCCAGTTAAATAAAGGTTAAACTCACTCTAGCTGCTCCAGTTAAATAAGGATTAAACTCACCCTAGCTGCTCTAGTTAAATAAGGGTTAAACTCACCCTAGCTGCTCCAGTTAAATAAGGATTAAACTCACCCTAGCTGCTCTAGTTAAATAAGGGTTAAACTCACCCTAGCTGCTCCAGTTAGTGACCTATCCACAGAGACAGCAGGAGCCTGTGTAGTTCTCTGACTTTCGTCGATGATTTTTTTATTGTCTACTTCCTCACTGAAAGTTGGTAGAAGATCTTCTCGACCATGATATTTATAACAGTTGATGACTATCTGTCTGAGAGCATGAGTCCACGATACCTTGGTCATAAAAACATTCTATCTATACTCTGTTATTTAAAAACATGGCCAAGAAGTTAAAAAAATTTACTAATATTTCAAAGATTTGAAACCATAATGCTACCTGAAATACAATTAGCAACAATGTGAGCAATTATAAAACCTTTTACATGTAACAACAAACACTGTTCTTTCTCAACACTGTATATGTAACAACAAACACTGTTCTTTCTCAACATTGTATATGTAACAACAAACACTGTTCTTTCTCAACACTGTATATGTAACAACAAACACTGTTCTTTCTCAACACTGAATATGTAACAACAAACACTGTTCTTTCTCAACACTGAATATGTAACAACAAACACTGTTCTTTCTCAAATTCATGAACTGAAAATTATCACTGGCAAAGATAGGTCTTAACTTATAGCACACCAACTAATGAATTAAAAATCATCACTGGCAAAGATAGGTCTTAACTTATAGACACCAACTGATGAATTAAAAATCATCACTGGCAAGTGTAGGTCTTAACTTATAGCACACCAACTGATGAATTGAAAATCATCACTAGCAAAGATAGATCTTAACTTATAGCACATCAACTGATGAATTAAAAATCATCACTGGCAAAGATAGGTCTTAACCTATAGCACACCAACTGATGAATTGAAAATTATCACTGGCAAAGATAGGTCTTAACTTATAGCACACCAACTGATGAATTGATAATCATCACTGGCAAATATAGGTCTTAACTTATAGCACACCAACTGATGAATTGAAAATCATCACTGGTAAAGATAGGTCTTAACTTATAGCACACCAACTGATGAATTGATAATCATCACTGGCAAATATAGGTCTTAACTTATAGCACACCAACTGATGAATTGATAGTCATCACTGGTAAAGATAGGTCTTAACTTATAGCACACCAACTGATGAATTGATAATCATCACTGGCAAAGATAGGTCTTAACTTATAGCACATCACAAGTATTTAACCTAGCATGACTTTAAATTCCTTTCTGAGTATGTTACTGTGTTACATTAAACATTTAATTAAACCATTTTACTATCAACATATATCAATTACATTAACATTATAATGTTTGTTATAATTTGAATTTTTATTTCATCTAACTTATAATTACTTTGTTTCAAAGGAAACATTTTAAAAAAATAATTAAAACTGCAGTTTTTGTGTCATGTGATCTATGCGCTATGCAAAATCTCGACCTTAACAGCATTTCATGTTTAGCCAGATAAACTAGCACCGTATATGAGTATGTAGATGTACAATATGTGTGTTTGCCCTACTTGACACATGATATTTAAAGTCTGTGTCTGCTTTGTCTGTGAAACAGCTATAAATTTTCCAATCCTTGATGGGTGCCACACCCACCTTCTACACTTTGCCTTGCGATGTACAACGTACATGTAGTTAGTAGACACAAGTGTATATAACAGTTAGAAAGAAATAAGTTTACACTATACTCCATCAATGGTTGACTTGAAATTGTCCCACAGTTACAGTGTACATCTAACTACCATTAGTATTGTTGTCTGCTTCATCAACTGTAGCACTTATAGTGGTTTTTTACCTAAAAATGTTATAGTTAAATAGACAGTTAACTTGTATTTATTATGGATTATTTGTTTTAAAAATCATATTTGAATGGTTTAATGATTTTTATAAGTTTAACTTGTTGTCACCTAGATTTTAAAAGTGTATAAACAAGATGGCATCATTTGCATGTGTAAAGGGTTAGTTAAAAAAGTCTCTGTACAGGGGTTTCCATATATGGCACGAATGATAAAAGACAAAGAACTGGAAAGGAAAATTAAAAATAAACTATAAGTGACAAGATAAAGACGTGAAATTATGCATATTAAAAAAAACCAAATTTCAAAAGACTTCTACGAAGAGCTAAAATATGTACATATTTCCATTTCTTAATTTTAAACATTTCGTTCCAGTATACATTGATGATAATAGGTAGAGTCTGTACTGTTTATTGAATCTCTTTCCTCTTATTGTAAGTTATTAATTACTTAGATGCAAGAAAATCGTAAAAACGCTGTACAGTGAACGGTTTCGAACAATTTTGTGTAATCAACTGAACAGAAATAAACAATTAATATTATGTATGAACATACGTTCCTTTGTGTTTTCATAATAATAATAAAAACATATAAGTTTATTCTGTCTAATATAAAATATATATAAATAATGCTCTCTGTCTCAAACCAACTAAATGTGAGAAAAAAACTGAACTGAAATAGGCGATAATTCTTTCTTTAAAGAAATCTTTACAAAGACAACACACGTTTTAGTATGGCGTAAAGAAAAAGTATTAAAAGTATCCAGACCTAAATGTCACTCTTTACTTTAGACTAATACAAAAGTTTGTTTTAATTTGCTCAAAAATACACAAGGGTTATGTGCACTAATTTCGAAGTGAGAGATTAGAAGGAAGGCAGATAGTCAACATTACAAACTCTTGGACTACTCTTGTTAGACTGAATAGTGAGGTTTGATCCTCACTCGTATAATGTATTCGTGGCTTCATTAGATCTGAAAAGAAATTTAATTTCTAATTTTGAGGAACCATCAGTCTAGAATATTAAGAATATTATACTATATGTGAAAAAGAATTTAATACTTAGTCATTCTGTTGTTTTTTCTTAATGACACAAGAAAAGAACTTACTTCGTTAACAGTCCGAACCTGAGCTTGTGTTCCATCCGGCAAAGTAACGACAGCACTACCTGGATCAATGTGTATAATTGATACTGTTCCATCAGGGTTGCTAATAGTCTGAACCACTGCTGGAGTATAGTGTGCTGCCAAAGACTGTGTATATAAACTCTGAAAATTCATGCACAAAACACCATATTGTATTACAATAATACTCAAAATAACAAAGTCCAGACAATTATCAATACTTCACAACTAGAAACAACATAAATTGAAAATTGTTCACTAATAATTAGTCATACAACAGCTTTAAGTTTCTATCAGGGTTTTTAGCTTTCAGAAAAAAGAAGGCAGACCTTACACTAAAGGTTTGTCTCCTTATCATTCATATAGTTCTTTCAATTGACAAAATGTCATACAACTTACAAAAATCTCTGATACTCAAAATACTTAATTCAAAACTGTCTTTGGTAAGTATAAATTAAATTATTATTAAACCTAAATTGGTTTGTTTTTCACAAATATTACACATTTCACGTTAACAGTTTACACTAATGTAGCATTCTATGCAACAATTAAAACCACAGTTTACACTAATGTAGTATTCTATGCAACACTTAAAATCACAGTTTACACTAATGTAGTATTCTATGCAACAATTAAAACCACAGTTTACACTAATGTAGTATTCTATGCAACACTTAAAATCACAGTTTACACTAATGTAGTATTCTATGCAACACTTAAAACCACAGTTTACACTAATGTAGTATTCTATGCAACATTTAAAACCACAGTCTACACTAATGTAGTATTCTATGCAACACTTAAAACCACAGTTTACACTAATGTAGTATTCTATGCAACACTTAAAACCACTAATGCACACAAGTTAATAATCATTGACAAAAGTAGGTTTGGTAAGATTTCCTTAGTAGAGTTCAACTATAAAGTCTGTGTTCTGTTCTTTCTATGTTGGGGTAGTGCACTCATCTTCTGGTTTTCTTAGGATAATAACAAGTAGTTTTAGTATTCTAATGTTGAATCTTCCCCAGAAATGTGGAAGACGAAAAAAAAACAACAAACCTGGATGTTTAGGATTTTACACAAAATTACATGAGGGATATCTGTGCTATCTGTCTAATTTTGAAGTGGATGTACCCTCCACCAACTCTTGGGGCTAGTAAACACCACCACAGAAAACTACTGTATTCGTGTCAGAAGTAGTCTCTGCCCATCACGGGTATCGAAACCCAGTTTCTATAAGTACAAGTCTGCAGACATGCCACTGGGGGGCCTTAAGGTAATGCATTTAAAAAAACTTTCTTTCTCAGCTCTTGTGTTGTTCACATCCTATTATTTTAACATTTTTATAAATGGTTTAATTAAATGTTTAATGTAACACAGTAACATACACAGAAAGGAATTTAAAAATCGTGCCAGGTTAAATACTTGTAAAAAACTTTCTTTCTCAGCTCTTGTGTTGTTCACATCCTATTATTTTAACATTTTTATAAATGGTTTAATTAAATGTTTAATGTAACACAGTAACATACACAGAAAGGAATTTAA